GTTATTTTTAATTTTCTGTACTTAAAATAAAAAGACCAAAGGTTGATCTTTAAGTTATTGCATGACTCAAATAAATATCCTTACAGCAATGGGAAATTTTTCATGGTTTTATCTTATAACTGTATATGTACTGACAATAGCACATGTATAATTATGGTATTTTTATTTACAAAGAGGTTGTTTTAGAATTTATATTCTTCTATGCTCCATCCTCACTTCAATGGTGGTTTTATCTTTCTCAAGCACAAATTTGACTTTATGGTTTATATATGCCATTAATTCATTCATGGCATATATAGACTATACATATATAACTATAAACTATAAATATATATATATAAACTATATATATATATAGAAGGCAATATATATATATATATATATATATATAACTATAAAGTGCAAGTCCATTAACATGATTTAAAGGCTCTGTACTACTGGACCACAAACGTTTTTCCCAAGCATTTGATTCTCCCATATTTCTAGGCATGTGTTGACCCTGGATGACTCACCATGTTACAAATGACGTGGTGACAATTCCTATAACACACTTTTGCACCAACACACTCTTTCAGGTCACAGTGCACTTCTCTGTGGTGTGTTCTTGTACATCCTCCTCTTTAATACCTCCAATTGCATCTCTTCAGTAAAGATTTGCCCTCCCATCCAAAATTATGCATGCTGTCTCATCACAAAGCACTTTATCAGCAACTTTCCAAAGGTAGTAGCCCTCTATTTCATGGTGGGAAGCAACTTGTTTCCAAATGCGTTTGATTCTCTGATTAGTTGTAAACTTTAAAACAAGATCACTTCTTCATCTCTGATTTTTCTATACCTGGCATCATGTATATTTTTAAGCCAAGTTGATCAATGCAAGTCATGCTGAATGAATATCTCTTCTTGAATTAACTATAGGAAAAATTTGGGTTTGAAAAAAGTATATGAGTTGGTACAGTTTGTTTGCCTTGGATATTGTTTATATTGAATTTATTGTGAAGGCAATACTCAATTTCATAATACTATTAGAAAATAAGGGTAAACAGCAGCTACAATATTATTTGAAATATTTAAGTCATATCATTCCAAATTGAATGCAACATTGAGTGGTCTTTTACTTCTACGTAAGTGGTATAGTATAGTTTTGGTGACTGAAAAACTGTTTTCAGACAAGATTTGGGTATGGTTTGGGACTTCAAAGGTAGAATCTGAAAAGGCAAAGATTATAATGGAAGATAAACAGGAGGCTAAACACACACAAATGACTGGGCAATTATGAACTAGAGTACACACTCATTAGAAGGGAAATGATGCTAAGAAATGAAAAAGAAAAAATTCTAAGTTATTGGAATTAGATATGGGAATAGGCAGTTTGGCTTTCAGTTGTTTGAGGATTTTTTAAAAGTCTGTATTGTTTTTAATGAGAGAAAGAGAGAGAGAGGGAGAGAGAGAGAGAGAGAGAGAGAGAGAGAGAAATAAGAGTTCCCCCTCTACCAGTTCACTCTGCAAATGCCTACAAAGGTTGGTTGTGGGCCAGGCCGAAGCTTGGAACAGGGAGCCCAATCCAGGGCTCCCATGTGGGTAGCAGGAATCCAATTCCTGAGGCATCACTGCTGCCTCCCAAAGTTTGTGTTAGAAGGAAGTTGGAAGAGGAGCCAGAGACTAGTATTGTACCCAGTCAGTCCAATATGGAAGGTAGGCTGGACTAAAATGCTCACTCCCATATTTGGGGGTATTTAAGTCTTAATTTGTGCAACTTAGCCTCACATTGAAAATTTATAAACTCTATTGAGATAATGTGTCATTATTGGAATCCATCAGGTTTGCTTTTTATAACTGCTTTGATAAGAATTTATGGATATCCTCTAAGAGCAACTGGATTTATGAATCTAGTTTGAATAACAAAATGATTGTATCCTAGGCAAGTATAATTGCTTTTTACTTATGACTTGACTGTGATTACTATTCATATAAAATTATTCCCATCAATTACAAGCCACTTAATTTTCCTACAATTTCCCATACTAGCTGCAAGTAGCTAACAAGTAAATTTGATTTGATTAACTATATCAATCAAACAAAGGGGTTTTCAGCAAAACACCAGGCATATTTGAAGCTATAAGTGGGTGAGAAAGAAGTCAAACACTATTTAACAAGCTTTAGATACAAGAGGAAGCTAAAAGTAGGAAGTGTGAGAGCACCATTTGGACAGGGGTTGGCATTACATTTTATGGTTTCTCACGTAATTTGTGAAGAACTAAACACAAAAGTAAATGTTTAATTTGCTATAATTAGGGGCCGGTGCTGTGGCCTATGGGTTAGGTCTTCGACTGTGGCACTGGCATCCCATTTGGTCACTGATTCAGGTCCCAGCTGGTGTGCCTGGGAAAGCAGCAGAAGATGGCCCAGTTCTTGGGCCCCTGAACCCACATGGGAGACCTAGAAGATGCTCCTGGCTCCTGGCTGTGGATCCACTTAGCTCTGGCCATTGTGGCATTTGGGGATGAACCAGCGGATGGAAAATCTCTTTCCTGTGTCTCCCACTCTCTGTCTGTAACTCTGCCTTTCAAATAAACAAATAAATCTTTAAATTTTTTTAAAAAATTGTTATAATTCTTATATATCCAGAACAGCCCTCTGCACATAATGCTATACTAATTTCAAAGCTACTGTCCTTAATAACAATGCCTCTCAAACTCTAATGCACATGTGAGTTACCTATGGATTTTTTAAAAAAGATTTATTTATTTATTTGAAAGAATTAGAGAGAGGAGAGGTAGAGAGAGAGAGAGAGGGAGGGAGAGAGAGAGAGGGAGGAGAGAGGTCTTCCATCTGATGGTTCACTCCCAAATTGGCTGCAATGGCTGGAGCTGCACCGATCCAAAGCCAGGAGCCAGGAGCTTCCTCCGGGTCTCCCACATGGGTGAGGGGCCCAAGGACTTGGGCCATCTTGTACTGCTTTCCCAGGCCACAGCAGAGAGCTGGATAGGAAGTGGAGCAGCAGGGACTCAAACTGACGCCCATATGGGATGCCGGCGCTTCAGGCCAGGGCGTTAATCCACTGCGCCACTGCGCTGGCCCCATCCTATGATTTTTTAAAACTCACAGATTCTGATTATCTAAGGATCCCAAGGAGTTGCATTACCAGCATGTTTTCACATCATGGCTGCAAGGGCAGGGAACAATCCTGGGTGGGGTCTTTGAGTATCACTGCTCTGTGTAATGGAGTATATTAATGCTAGATGTTTATCTCATTTTGGGGAACATTATCATTTATGAGAGACAAGATCTGGACCCTGAGGGGCTGTGGATATCCCGTGTGGGTGTTGGTTTGAGTCCCGGCTATTCCACTTCTGATCCAGTTCCTTGCTAATGGCCTGGGAAAAGCAGCAGAAGATGGCCCAAGTGTTTGGGCCCCTGCTACCCACCCACATGGGAAACCTGATGAAGATTCTGGCTCCTGGCTTTGGCTTGGTCCAGCACAGGCTGTTGCAGCCATCTGGAATCAGCAGACGGAAGAGCGCTTTCTCTCTCTGTCTCTCCCTCTCTCTCTGGACTCTGAATTTCAAAATAAATAACTCTCAAAAATAATTTGGATCTGAGACTGACTGAACATCCCCTCTTCAGTCATGCATTGCTTTGCAGTACTACTCTTAGAACCGGCAAGTGGAGGCCTGGTTCCAGTCCTGTATCTGAGAGCTTTGCTTTTCGGAGTGCTTTCTTTGAAATTTTCCAAGTTCCCTTCCACTGCCAGCCCTGTTTCTCCCCTCTGGGGTGATCTCTTTTTCCAGCCCCACATATAGGGTTGACCAGATGTCTCGAGGAATTCTGTAACTTATGCAGTCATTCTGATGTCTTGCATCCAGGATCCAGTTCTGGGAGGGGATCTTGGTGACCAGATTGGTATGCTGGTTAACAGGTATTTCTTAAAAAAAAAAAAAAAGATTTATTTATTTGAAATGCAAAGTGACAGAGATGGGGAAAAAGAGAGAGAGAGATCTTCTATTTACTGGTTCACTCCCCAAATGCCCACAACAGCCAAGTCTTGGTCAGGGCATTGCCAGGAGCCAGGAACTCCATTCAGGTCTCCCACAAGGGTGCAGGGACCCAAGCACTTGGGCCACCATCTGCTGCCTTCCCAGGCACACTAGCAGGAAGCTGTATCAGAAGCAGAGTATCCAGGGCTTGAACTTGCACTCCAATAGGGGATGTAGATGAAGCTCCTGGCTCCTGGTTTCCATCTGGCACAGCCCTGGGTGTTGTGGCCATTTGGGTAATGAACCAGCAGATAAGCGATCTCTCACTCTTTGTCTTTCCCTCTCTTTCAGTAACTCTGCCTTTCAAATAACTAAAATAAATCTGTTTTTTAAAAAAATGGAGTTAAAGTGGAAAGTTCTCTGCTTGGCACTTAACACTGGGATTTATTTTGAAGTGATTTTTTATTCCTTGACATGTGCACCTCATGATATTTTTTAGTTGCTGGTATATAATTACCCAATAAAGTAAAACCAAAATCAAATACGTTCAAGGACTTTTTAAAGTGCAGAACAGATGTTGAGATTTCACAATTGCAAACCTGTGTAAATATTTGGTTCACCAAGTTAGGTAAATAAAATGGCCTCATTATTTACCATTGTGCTGTGAGAAATACTGAATACCATGGGAAAGATATGAGGGAAAAAGTATTCCTTTCCAACTTAAATGCCAATGAGCAAGACAAAAATTTAATTTTCCCACAGAGAAAAAAACTCAGAGCAATATCGAAACTCACTATCAGAGTATCATCACAAAGATTTTGAGGGAGATATTTTGGGAGTGTCTTGTCCAAAATTTTAATGCTCTTACTCTCCCACTTAGCAATTCTATATGTGGTGATTTATTTTATAACGCATTTCCTCAACTTTGCAAACATAAATACAAAAGCACATTCATTTAACTTTCCATGTGACTCAGACACTTAGTTCATTTTGCTGCCACAAAAGTACCACAGACTGCATTAGGAATTATGTATAAATGATATAAATTTATTTCTCATAAATCTCCAGTTTTGAGAAATAAAAAGACAAGAATTTAATCTTGCTTATTTGATTGCTACTAGTGCCAAACTGGTGCTTTAAGAATTGACAGTGCTGAAAAAAGGTGAATGAAAGCTTTGAAGCCCTTAGCTTCTAAACGTAGCTTCACATCATTATCGTGTGCACGTCTGTAGCACACTTCATTTTGTTTTCATTTTGTGGCCAACCACTGCTTCAAATTGAATGTTCTGTATACGACTGATAGCTGCCAAGACACGTTCAGGAAGAAACCTGTAGAAAAGACGAGATGAACACTTCTCAATTTAAAATCCTTGGTACAAGAGTCCTTTATGGTTGTCAGTTAAAATGCTCTGTTATCTGGCTTGCATTTAATTTTCCTCCATTCTTCCTTTGCCTGCCTCTCTCCCTCTCCATTCCTGCACCGCCCTGTCCTTTCTCTCTCCCTCTCTCTATCACATCTCGTTAAACTGAAAATGAAGACAAATGATAGAGATAGCGCCCATATACTGATTTACTCCCCAAATTCCCACAGAGGCTGGGTTTGGCCTGGGACTGAATCTGGGAGCCAGGAACTCAATTCTGGCCTCCTACGTGGGTGGTAAGGATCAAATTATTTGAATCATCATTGCTGCCTCGAAGAATCTGCATTGGCCAGAAGCTGGGGCCAGGAACCAGAGATGGGCATCAAACCCAGGTACTCTGAACTGCTAGAACATACACCTTCTCCTTTTTTTTTTTTTTTTTTTGACAGGCAGAGTTAGACAGTGAGAGACAGAAAGGTCTTCTTTTTCCGTTGGTTCACCCCCCAAATGGCCGCTACGGCTGGCGCGCTGCACCGATCCGAAGCCAGGAGCCAGGTGCTTCTCCTGGTCTCCCACGCGGGTGCAGGGCCCAAGCACTTGGGCCATCCTCCACTGCACTCCCGGGCCACAGCAGAGAGCTGGACTGGAAGAGGAGCAACCGGGACAGAATCCGGTGCCCTGACCGGGACTAGAAACCCGGGGTGCCGGCGCCACAGGTGGAGGATTAGCCTAGTGAGCCGCGGCGTCGGCCTCCAACTCCTCTCTTGTATGTAGGTCTTTTTTTATTTTATTTTTTTAAAGATTTCTTTCATGGGGCCAGTGTTGTATAGCAGTTAAGCCACTGCCCACAGCGCCAGCATCCCATGTTGGGGCTGGTTCGAGTCCTGGCTGCTCCACTTCTGGTCTAGCTCCTTGCTAATGGCCTGGGAAAAGCAGAGGAAGATGGCCCAAGTGCTTGGGCCCCTACCACCCACATGGGAGACCCGGATGGAGTTCCTGGCTTCTGGCTTTGGCCTGACCCAGCTGTGGCCGTTATGGCCATCTGGTGAGTGAACCAGCAGATGGAAGACCGATCTCTCTCTCTCTCTCTCTCTCTCTCTCTCTCTCTCTCTTTTCCTCTCTCCTGTCTCTCCTTTTTTCTCTCTATATATGACTTTACCTTCAGTCAGGCCAAAGCCAGGAGCCAGAAGCTTTGTCTGGTCTCCCACGTGGGTGCAGGGGCCCAAGGACTTGCACCATCTTTCACTGCTATCTCAGGCACATTAACAGGCAGTTGGATCAGAATAGGAGCAACCAGGGCTTGAACCTTCACCGACATGGGATGCTGGCATTGCAGGCAACAGCTTAACCTAAATTATGTCTCATCACCGCCCCATGTATGTGTCAAAATAAATGCAAATATATGGAAAACACTGACATATATCACTCTTCTCACCCTGTCAATTTGTATGAGCAAATCATACATGAGGTCATCTATCAGTAATAATCTAAAGCTGAAGCTCTGAGCTCACTGCTGAAATGATCCATCCTGATGCTAAGAGCTCACAAAGCGACACCACCAGAACCTGCTCCGTCCATCGCTCCACCTCTCCTCAAGTATTTACTGAACATGTAGCACACAGTCTACACCGAGGTTAACCAAAGCACTTAAACATAGCTACTGCATTTGAGGAGTTACTGTTCAGCTGAGAGGAGGAACATTTCAAAACGATGACTGACTGTGATGGGCAGGACGTGAGAGGCCAGATGAAAAGGAGAGAGCAGCAGTGACTACAGGGGGCAGAAGTGACATGCTCCTCAAAGTCATGTGGAAAATCATTCAATACTGTTCACTAATGCAGGACTTTCTTCTCTCTCTTGGGGATGGAGCGCTGGAAGATGGGGGCACGCCCAAAGGGGCAGGGGACAGCTGGGATGGCAGAAGGACAAGGCTAAGAAGAGAGCTTGTGGGGGCCTTTTAACTACTTCAAAACAAAAAAGAGTACCTAGAATGTGGGGTTTATAACATAAGAAAATAAAATCAATGACAACAACAGCAAAAGGCCTGGGAGGGGAGAATGGAAGTGCTCTTAGGTTCCTGGATTATGCATGAAGTGGTATAATAGCATAGGAAAGTAGACAGTGGTGACATAAAGATGCGCATCATGAATCCTAAAGTAACAGTTGATGTGCCAACAAAGGAAATCAAATGAAAATAGTTAACCCACAGAAAGCAGAAAAAGGAAGAAAGAACAGATAGGAACAAATAAAAAACAAGATGATCTTTAAATATACTGATGTACATACTCATATTAAAGTGCATGGTCTAACCACACCAATTGAAAGGCAGAGATTATCAAATTCAAATTAAAAAAAAAAAAAACAGAAAAAACAAGGCTCAACTATATACTGTCTATAAGAAACATACTACAATACACTATTAAGGAAAAAGGTTAAAAATACAAAGATGGAACCAGATATACTAAGATAACAATCTAAAGAAGCTACAGTGACTGTTAATTTCACACAAAGTAGATTTCTAAGCAAAGACTGCTACTCAGAACAAACTAGATAATTTCAAATTGAAAAAGCAGTACATTCATTCATGGGACCTAATCCTTAATGGCATTTTCAATAGCATCAAAACCATAAAATACTTTGGGATAAATCTGGCTAAAGACATGCAAGACTTGAACATCAAAAAACTATAAAATATTGCTTAAAAATTTTAAAGATAAAAAAGAAAGACATACTGTGTTATTGGATTGAAGAGTTAATATTGTTACTGTATCAAAATTTTCCAAGTTGATCCATGGATTCAGTGCAATCCCAATCAAAATTCCAGAAGACTTTAAAAAAGAGCCTTTTTTTTTTAACCAAAACTTTAATCCCAAGGATTCTCACAAAAACATATTACAAATGACAGCATGAAAAAAATAATCTTGCACAGTAACTCGAAGTTCAGCTCTACAATGTACCCTTAAACTGGCAGGACATTGGTATTTTCTGAAATCTCACTTTTCCCAAAAAAGACTGTTATATAAACAGCTATGTATTCTATATTGCAATTACATAAGGAACTTATCACCTAGGCAAAGGTAAACTTTCTTGAAACTTACTAGATTCTAGACCAACTACTAGACAACCTCTGCCCAGGGTAAGACTAGCTGGATTTTTCCAAAAACCTCTAATCTATATTTAATGGTGCAGCTAAAAAAGAGCCTTTATTATTAACTATTTCATTACATTGTGTTCTTTTTATATGGTCTTTCCTCCCATTAGCATAATCTTGAGCAAAGACTGGGCAAACACAGTAGATGTACTATAGAAAATGAGTAATTTTTTTTAAATAAGATAATAACACAGAGTATGTAACTGTTGTCCCCAGAAATGCAATTTTCATGGCAAATTTTAAAACTGACACTCTTCCTATAGCAACAGCTCTGTAGGTGTTTTAGTACTTTAAGTGTTCAGTGCTATACTTACTTTTCCAGAATTAGTGAGATATTGATATATGATGGGACAAAAATCATTTTCTTATTGGTAAGTACTCCATCTATTAGACTTCTTGCAACTACATCTGTCTCCAAAACAGGCCATAATCTGTGATTAAAAAGAAAAAAGTTTATCTTTATTTAATTTTTAAAATTTTCTTAATAAAGGTGGGAAAATAACCCATCTTTTACCAAATTTAGAATTACAGTTTAGGAGTGGGCTGCATATCACAGTGTTAGGGTTCAAGTCTCAGCTGCTAATGCCTACCCTGGAAGGCAGCAGGTAATTGCTTAAATACTTGGGTTCCTGCTACCTCTGTAGAAGACCCAGGTTGAATCCTGGGCTCAGCCCAAGCTGTTGCGGGCATTTGGGTAGTAAACCAGCAGATGGAAGATTGACTTCTGGCTCTGCTTTTGAAAATTTTGGATTTAAGTTGTTCCAGAATTTGCTGGACAAATGCCACCTTCCCCCATTCCTCACATCCCATGTGGATGTTTTGTTATCATGAGTGTTTCTTAGGTCATTCAGTGAGGATGGTGGAGTGGCATTAGATGATAAGGAGTGGAGGCATCAGGCAAGAATGAAGAGTGAGCAGGATTAATCAGAGGACAGGAAGGAGACATTTGGCATCTTGAGACCTGTTGGATATAAGGAGAATATTCTATAGCTAAGGATCCTTTCTTTCTTATGGTAGTATTCCATAAAGCTGGATTGTTTTGAGGGTATTTCGTTTTTGAGATTCACCTCTGACTTGCGTATCTTGCAGTTGAATGAGAACTGCAGATAGGCACAGTCTATTATTACAACTGGAGGTGTGCCCTTCCTCATACTGAAGATCGTGTGCCTGTGTGCTGGAGAAATAGTTGTAACCACAAGCCCAGTGTAGAACTGCCCACTGGTGCAAGATCATGACAGAAAACTAGCACTTGAATTTATCCAGTGAAGGATTTAAGCTGAATCAAAGTTAATATAATTAGGCATGGCTAAACAGTCAGTGGTTAGACAAGTGAAGTCACCAGAGCCTGAGATATGCTGTAGTTTAGGCCGGCGCCGCGGCTCACTAGGCTAATCCTCCGCCTAGTGGCGCCGGCACACCGGGTTCTAGTCCCGGTCGGGGCGCCGGATTCTGTCCCGGTTGCCCCTCTTCCAGGCCAGCCCTCTGCTGTGGCCAGGGAATGCAGTGGAGGATGGCCCAGGTGCTTGGGCCCTGCACCCCATGGGAGACCAGGAAAAGCACCTGGCTCCTGGCTCCTGCCATCGGATCAGCGCGGTGCGCCGGCCGCAGCGCGCCGGCCGCGGCGGCCATTGGAGGGTGAACCAACGGCAAAAAGGAAGACCTTTCTCTCCGTCTCTCTCTCTCACTGTCCACTCTGCCTGTCAAAAAAAAAAAAAAAAAAAAAAAAAAAAAGAGAGAGATATGCTGTAGTTTACTGCAGATTGCTAGGTGATTGAGGTGCTGACGGTGTTGACCAGCAAGCCAGCCAAGAGTGCTACAAATCATCTCTTTTCTCAATTATTGGTCCTACCTCTTCTGTTCCTGATTCCACCCTCCTGGACCCATGAACCCAGTCCCCGGGCCAAGCATGACATTAGCATTTCAATGCCTTAGGCCCTGATGAGGAAATTCAGAATCCAGAAACTAACTCCAAATCTTCAACAGTGTCTGAATCTGTCTATTCCTCAGGATGCCTCCAGACACACACTCTTTATCCTTACCCCCCTCTCCTATTGTACCTTCCCCACCAGGGGCAGGGTCCTCTTGGCAAAGCTCCTTATGCACGAAGCCAAGCCTGAATCTTACCCAGCAGATTTTTGGAGGAGACCAATTTTCTATCTTAAGATGATGGCATGGTGTCGCAACGGTACCACAGCATTTACTTAAATACCATATCCTACGTTATTGTCCCATACCATTAAGGACTCCAGGTGTGGGGTGTGTGCCTGGGGGTGGGGAGGTGACCCTGGCTGCAGGGACATCACAGATAACTCAGAGTTTGAATCAATAGTCTCAAAGGAGGCTGAGCTCAAAAGAGAATTCATTAGTTCTTTTAAAAAATGTCTCCTAGTCACAAATTGGTTTCTTTTTTATTTGCTGTTTTCTTTCTGAGGGATGGAAGAAAGGGGGGGGGGGAGAGAGAGAGAGCGAGAGCGAGCAGGTTCTCCCATCTGCTGGTTCGTTCTCCAAATGGCTGCAATGGCTGGAGCTGGACCAATCTGAAGCCAGGAGGCAGGAGCTTCCTCCAGGTCCCCGGTGTGGGCACAGAGCCCAAGCACTTGGGTCATCGTTTGTTGCCTTCCCAGGCCATCAGCAGGGAGCAGGATCAGAAGTGGAGTGGCCGGGACTCAAACCCTCACCCGTGTGGGATGCTGATACCTCAGGAGTGGGTGCCTTTACCTACAGTGTCATAGCGCTGGCCCCACAAATTGTTTTCTGATTGGCGAGGTTAGTGTCCCTTGGAATCTTGCAGCATGGCATATACTAGGACTGACACTCATTTGTGAGGCAGATTGCTGAATTTTAGGGCCCTTGTCCCCTCACTTCTGCTTTTCTCTTCCTCATTCAGGACCAGTGTCTCCTCTCTTCTCTCAAGGCCACTCTCATCAGAGACCAAGTTCTTGCAGAAATTCACCCTGACTAAGGAGCAAGGGGCTCAATTTACTGCTGCTTGTAGAAACATTTGCCTTTTTAGAGGACAGAGTGGTAGCAATGACCAAAGGCACGTGGTTATATTTAGCATATTAATGTTTTCCAAACTTGCCTCTGGACTCACCTGGTATGTTTTGGAAAAGGAAGCACCTCTGAACATTTGCTCTTCATGGAAGCCTAAGTAGTGATTCTGAGGATCAGGCAAGTGTGCAAAATGTAGACTACTGTACGTTAGCACTGTGGCCAGTGCTGTGGAAGATTTAAAGGGGTGTCTACCCTCACCTTTCCTTAAACTCTAAGAAGGATGAACTACTGCCGAGGGGGGGGCGGATCTTAGACACCATTCATCTTGGGGGCGTGGCTGTCAGCATGGAAGCTGCTGTTTGTTCTTCAGCCCACCCCATGACACGCCCACTCACTTTTGGCATCTGAGTGTGTGCGAACTTTTCCCAGGAAAAATAAGTAACCAGTTGCCTAGCTCCTCAGCAGATTGCTCTCGCCAGTCCCTAATGTGTTTTTCCCCTTTCATTTGGTTTCCAAGTGACAACATAAAGCCAACACAAGCACAAGAACAAGGATCTTTTTTTCCCCTTTTTTCTGTTCAGTCAGTTGCCCCACCTACAATTTTTTCATATGGTTTTCACAGCAATTTCTTACATCACATTCCCACCATAATTTAATTTTGACCTCACCTCGTGCTTGGGTTTTTGGTGAAGCCCGTATTCACAAAAACTGGACAGAGACATGATGTTTTGATTCCAGTTTTTCCCAAGGTTTCAAGTTCTGATGTCAGAGCTCTGTGAAAGCCAACAGCAGCAAATTTGCTGGAACTGTAAGAGAATTGTATGAAGCATGATTAGCTAAGAAACTGCTGGAACCCAGTCCTCAGCCTTCTGTGAAGGCTGCATTGTTTGGTTTGAAAGCAAGTAAAGACCCCAAAATTATCGACTTGTGATTTCCCTTTTCTTTTTTAAGATTTATTTATTTTACTTGAAAGTCATAGTTATGGGGGGGGGGGAGGGAAAGAGAGAGAGAGAGAGAGAGAGAGAGAGAGAGAGAGAGAAAGAGAGAGAGAGAGAGAGGTCTTCCATCCACTGGTTCACTCTCCAGATGACTATAACGGCCAGAAAATTTTTTCTTTATTTGAATGGGAGACATGGTGTGTGTGTGTGTGGGAGAGAGTGAGAGAGAATGAATGAGAGAGAGAGAGAGAGAGAGAGAGAGCAAGCAAATCTCCCATCTACTGGTTCATTCCCTGATGCCTACAACAGTGAGAGTGGGGTGAGTCCATAGCCAGGAGCTCAGAATTCTATCCAGGTCCTTCAAATAGGTAGTAGGAACCTGCATACTTGAGCCATCACCTGCTGTCACCCAGAATGCCCATTATCAGGAAGTTGGACTCAAAAGTAGAGCCAGGACTCGAACCCAGACACCCCAATATAGGATTCAGGTATCCTAGACAGCATCTTAGCATCTGTGCCAAACAGTCACCCCAGACTAGTGGTTTTTCTGAGAGGATAAATGGTCATTCCTATTCTATGACTGAAGAGAATTCTAAACATACCAAGTTTTTAAAATAGCAATGATAACAAAAGAACAATAATGACTTTATTGGCTGGCTTAATGCTCCCTGTCTCACCTTACACATAATATTGTACTGTCAATCTTCAAACAGTTTTCTAACCAGTTTTTTTAATGCTGTTTTTATTTTTTAAAGATAGGAATAAGGAAAAATATATTTGAAATATTATAAAGCTAGTTTTTCTTCTCTCTCTCTTCATTACTGAGTTGACAATTTCTCTCCTAACACTGGTGGTTCATCTGGCTCCTAAATCTCATCATACGGATTTAAGCACAGAGTGACTATGGGTGTATGGGTGTGTGTGTGTGTGCGTGTGTGTGCAAACTTCAGCACACAACTTACCTTCTTATTTTTCTGATCTTTAAAATGCAGATAATAAAATACAGGCTGCCTTGTGGATTAAATAAAATAGCACACACATAGTAACTTTAGGGCTCTATATAAGTTGTATTTTTGACCCAAGTGACAGTAAGAACAATAAATTAGTCTAACTGTGCCCTTAAAGGAGAAGGGGGAAAAAAGGGGGGGAGTACACATTGGGTTTCTCACATTTATAAATGTTAGGAAAATAGCAAGTGTTTAATCTGTGAAATTCCCATTTGTGTTGTTAGATGATAGAGGCAACTTGAAACAGGTGTTTCACACCCTGACCCATAGTGAGATTTAACTACATTTGTAACTGCATTCAGCAGCAAGAATAACTGCCCCATGACTAAATTTAACCTTGAACATGTGTATACAAGTCAATAACAAACCAATTAACTGCCCACCCACTGATGCTCAAGTGTTTGCTATGAGGTTGATACAAAGCAGAAATAAGGAAATGAGATACCATTAGAAGAGTTTCCAAAGAAAGGATATTTTGCAAATAGAATATCCTTAGGGCCTATCATCTCTAGTATTCGTATCTTTTAACCTGGTAGAGGCTTTACTCTCTCTCTCTCTCTCTCTCACACACACACACACACACACAAGCACACACACATACATGCACACAGACTTTCATGGCATGCATATGCTGGAAAATGTTTGGATCCCAGGGCCCACTCTGATTGGCTTATCTTAGGCACCCAGACCATGATGCAGCTGTGTGTTCTTTTTAACTTCTCTGTATTTTGCTTCTGTGGGCTTCCTGTTTCTCGTCCTCCCATCCTGAAACCTTTTGTTTAAGGAAGACAAACTTCAGGAATTTCATAAGGACAACTTCAGGAACATAGCAATTCTTCCCACTGTACCCACCGTTCCACCTATACTCCCTCCCTGTGGGGAGCAGGGCCCATCTCCCGTAACATGGCAGGGCCCGTCGCCCGGAAGACAAATAAGTACTAAGACTGTGGACAAATAAATACTGAGGATAAATACTGAGATTACCAAGACTAGACTAAACTACTGGAACTGCTAAGACTAACTCTGTGCATCTGATCGCCCACCATGTGGCGCTGAGAGGGAGTAAACAACTTCCACACAGCTGCCTCACCAATTTGACTAACAAGCTGCAGGAGCTGATCCTGCCCCTGACTGGAGGAGAGCAGCGTGCTCAGCGTGTGGGGAGAGAACGCCAGCAGGGTTGGGATTGGTGGAAGAGGACTATAAAGGAGGAGAGAGACAACATGCAGGAGGAACATCTGAGGAACCCCTGAGAGAGCCGGCCGGCGGTGTGCCTCCCCTCCGTGGAGGCGGGTGGGGGTGGGGAGTGGCAGCTAATCCGGGGAGGACCGGGGAAAGAACCAACAGCAAATCCATTGCCGCTCCTCTGCAAGCCTGCGGAGCGAGCGACACCTCCCGTCATCCTACCCCTCTCCTATTCCTATTTCTTTTGTCAACATTCACTCATTCCAGGTTACAATAGAAATACATTCGGCATTACTGTTTTGTTTCATTGCTCTATAGAATTTTCAGAAATAAAAAACTATTTGAAACTTAATGGGATTCAACATCCTTGTTTTAGGAGAAGTCATTTTTGAAAATGTATTCTAGGGTCCGGCACTGTGGCGTAGGAGGTAAAGCCGCCGCCTGCAGTGCAAGCATCCCATGTGGACACCGGTTTGAGTCCTGGCTGCTCCACTTCTGATCCAACTCTCTGCTATGGCCTGGGAAAGCAGTAGAAGATGACGCAAGTCCTTTGGCCCCTGCACCCATGCAGGAGACCTGGAAGAAGCTCCTGGTTCCTGGCTTTGGATCAGCCCAGCTCCAGACGTGGCCATTTGGGGAGTGAACCAGTGGATGGAAGACCTCTTTCTCTCTCTCTCTCTCTGCCTCTCTCTGTGTAACTCTGACTTCCAAATAAATAATAAATAAACCTTTTAAAAAATGTATTCCAACTGTTATAAATATTCCATAAAGCCAAATTACTCTGTTATTTTTGCTTCTGAAGTCTAACAATCCCAAATAAGTACAAAAATACATAGTATTTCTGGCAAGGCTTACCAATAAGGAATGAGATAAGGAATCACTCCATGGCCACACACTGATGCCACTGTGACGATGTGGCCATGGTTTCTCTTCATCATTGATGGAAGAAGTGCTTTTGTGATCTGAAAGATCATTGCAGAAAGAAGAGAAACATTGACACAGGCATTAGATTTCCACCTGAGATAATTTTATTAAGACAGAATGATGGTTGAGAAAATTTCACAATAAAATGAAATACTTGCAAACATCTCCCGAATACTTCTATACAAATATACAAATGATAGGAATAAAAAGATAAAAGTTTGGTTTCAGGGGCATTGTGCACTGTGCAGTGTTTGCTGCATGCCATGAACCCATCTTAGTCCTCCTCCTTCCTTCTCTTTTGAATATGTTCTAAAAACAATATTATTAAGGGAGAAATTCAGAATTTTCAGAACTGAAAGAATCCCCTGTGATTATCTGGTATATACTTTTCTTGGGTTGAGGCTTCATCATTGTAATTAGAAGATCTGAAATCTTGTGACAGAATCTTGGAATAAGCTAAGACTTTGACACTAACCCACAACAATTATCCTCGCAGGTACACTTGGTATCTCCCTATTGTTAACATCATGGGTTACATGTTGTGTCACAGGAGATAAAAAGTCTTTTTCTTTCCTATTTTGTGAGAAATAGAAATCATATTTTATGAGACTTTTATGGACCCATGCTATAGATCCAAAATAAAATCATAGATCCAGAATGGTCAACCCAAGCAATCGCCAAAATCCTGACTCACAGAGACTCACAGAATAACACACATTTAGTGTTGCTTTCAACCACTAAGTGATCCACTAATATATGAGGTCTCTACATGTTTGTGACTATGATAACTAATTCAAATTATCATGTTTAAGGAGCTAGGTAAGGTAACGGGACACATTTCTTTTTCTCTTCCCTTTTCCAGAATCCAGATTTTCCTTAAGTTTTATGCAATATTGAGGCATTTGAATAAATGCTATAAGGAGCGGGCATTTTGGCTCAGTGGATTAAGCTACTGCCTGCAATGCCAGTATCCCGTATGAACACTTGTTCAAGTCCCAGCTACTCCACTTCCCATCCAGCTCCCTGCTAATGCACATGGGAAAGCAGCAGTGGGATGGCCCAGGAGCTTGGGCCTCTGTATCCATGTGAGAGACCCAGATGGAGTTCTAGCCTCCTGGATTTGGCTAACTAAGCCCTGACCATTGAGGTCATTTGGGGAGTGAACCAGCAGATGGAAGATCTTTCTGTCTACCTCTCTCTCTCTGTAACTCTACATTTCAAATAAATAAATCATTTTTAAATGCCCCTGTAAAAGGCTTTTGAAATGTATATTTCTGCCCTCCACAAAAGTAACCAATTACAAAGAGGTCTGTATAGCCCTCTAAGTTCCAGCATCTAGAACTTGTCTCAGAGTCCCATCAACTCCCACACACACCTGAGTAGTTACTTCTGATGTCCTTTGGAGTGAAGTCACCAGTGAATGCACATTGTACATATTTCCTCTAAAGCTTTGAAAAGATGTCCACAACCCATAACAAGAGCCTCTGCAAATATTTGTTGCCAACCTGGAACATAACCAGGCTTTGAAGTAGATCCTGGTGAAGAATTAGACCAAGTGGCTTGCACTCTGGTGTGTTGAGTCCTCTTGAACTGTGTGGCCTTCTGACAGGGACTCCATGGCTCTTTGACTCAAACTTGATGAGTCTTGATTTAAGGCTGACATCTGGCCAGTTTCCCACCAAAAAATATATAAGTTCTATTATGAACTTCCTGTGTCTTAAGAGGTGTCAGACATGCAGAAATCAGAAATGTGTCTGACTCACACTCACCCAAAAATGTCCTAGGATGTTGACTTCGAACGTTTTGGTAATCTCTTCGTCCTTGGTACTAAGAAGATCGGCTGGATATATTGCCCCAGCATTATTCACCACGATGGTTATATCACCTACTTCTTTCTTTACCTTTTAAAATGCAAAGAACACATTGACTGGGTGTGTTACACAAACTGAAAGTTTTGAGGCTGCTATCACCCAGGCATTATATTCTTTATTAAGCGAGATCTCTCAGGGGCCAAGCAGGAAAGAGCTTCTATCTCAGTGATTGCCAAGGAAAAACTGTCATAAAGGTGGCTTATTTTTTTTTAATTTAACATCTACATTTCAGTACCTAGTACATCATGGATTTTGAAGGCATATCAATAAAGTGAAAACACTTACATTGACCAACTGATATAAAAATTCTGATCAAATATTTCTTAAGTGTTAGTCGAGTAATCTTACTTCTACTATGTACTAGCTATAATGACCTTCATCCAGCTTAACTTCATTGAGCCTTAATTTACTCATCTATAAAATGATATTAATAAAGTTATTGTAGGGATTCAGTTAAGGAATGTGATGGCTTATTGGAGTCTTTGGATCATTGTACTTAGTATTTACTTGTAGAATATTGCTATAACAATGATAAATATTGTACTTCCCACAGAAGATTAGATTAACACCAAAATATATAAAATTTCACAAAAGAAATATTTAAGTGAAAAAAAATAAGGAATTGCTGCAAAAGTAACTGGACTAAAGCGAAGGTAGAAAGTGAATGATTTCCCCTGCTAATAAATCCTTTGTCAGTCATACTGAACCAGGGCTCAAAGTTCGAATTAGAATGAAATGGAGGGGGCGGGGAAATGGGGTGAGGACGGCGCTGTACCACCATCTCATATGGGCACTGGTTCATATCCCGGCTGCTCCTCCTCTGATCCAGCTCACTGCCTATGGCCTGGGAAAGCAGCAGAAGATGGCCCAAGTGCTTTGGCCACTGCACTCACATGAGAGACCCAGAGGAAGCTCCTGGCTTCAAATCGGCCCAGCTACGGCTGTTACGGCCATTTAGGGAGTGAATCAGCAGCTGGAAGACCTCTCTGTCTTTCCTTCTCTCTGTGACTTTGCCTCTCAAATAAATAAATAAAATCTTTAAAATAAAAAAAAGAATGAAATGGGCAGATTATACGAAAGAACAGTGATGGGCAGAGCTGAGTCTATTTCCTTCCTTGGCCACATACCCACTTCATTTACCAGCACCTAAAATCTAATTTGACTCAGGCAGTCCTAAAGAACTTTTGTATTTTCCATGTGTGGTGGTGGATATAAAATCTGTGAAGATTTGGGATGTGCAGTCTCACCTGGTTTATGGAACTGTAAATCTCTTCTCTGTTACTGCAGTCCACCACAGACGCATGCACGGTGACCCCAAGTTTTCGGCATTGAGCTGCAGTTTCCTCAACACCATGCTATAATTGGAAAAAACAAATTCAGAAAGATTGAAGGAGAAAGCATTTAAAATTCATGAAAAGTTACAATTCATGTCTAGGGGCCAGTGTTAAACCATCGCCATATGGGTGCTGGTTGGAGTCCCAACTGCTCCACTTCTGATCCAGTTCCCTGCTAATGCACTTGGGAAGGCAGCAGAAGATAGTCCCTGCCCTCATGTAGGAGGCCTGGCCCAGCCCCAGCCCTTGCAGCCACCTGGAGAGTGAAGCAGCAGATGGAAGATTCTCTCTTTCTCTCTCTCTCTCTCTCCTCTCTGTAACTCTGCCTTTCAATTAAATAAGTAAACCTTTAGTTTAAAAAGAAGAGCAAATATGTTTGAAATGATTACAAAAAATAAAGCTCATGTCCAAAATGCCCCTTTATTTGTAAGAAAATTTCTTCCAAGAGGCTCCTTGTCCAACTTGCAAGGAGATAGTGCCTGGCTTTTCTGCCCTGGAGTGCTCACAGGTGTTAGCCAACACAAGGGATCTCTTCTCTTGGGGTATTGTCAAATGATCCGTCTTAAGAGGAAGCTGTGCAGAGGAAAGCTTTGTTTACCAGTAACAAGTAAAGAAAGGAGTAAGGAGGTACAGTTCCTGAAAAGAAATGGTCTCCTTGAGAAGAAGTTTGCTAGGGCTTTTATAGCAAGAGTTAAGGGGGTTCCTAGTACATAGAAAATGTGGCAGAGGGGCCTTCCTGCTCGCAGTATACATCCCAGTACATTATATTTTCAAAAATCTGACTCAAATTAGTTTCTCGCAGCCTCTATCAGTTCCTTGTCTGTGGTGGTCTGGCTTCTTCTGAGCACGATGTTGCAAGGGAAGCTTTCTGGAACAAAACAAGCTCAAAAGATCATGCACTTAGAAACTGGTACAGATTCTCTGCTGGTATTCCAGTGTACCCTGTTTGCCTAAATCCTACATCTTTGGCTACAGAGGGTACATCGAAAAAGTCTGTGGGAAATGAAATCAAAAGCTAATATTTACTTATCTCAGTGCAAAATTTTTTTTGAAATCCATGCAGTGTTTTTTATGAATTTTTTGAAGACACTTCTTATGCATGGATTTCAAACATTTTGCACCAAAATAAACTTGTCTTTTAATCCTATTTCCCACAAACTTTTTGAGGTCCCTTGTGTTGGCATCAAGGCAAAACAACAACAAAAGCCCTCATGTTTTTCCAGTTTATCGTTTTGGTTTGGGGTTCTTCTCCACTACAGAGTTTCTCTACACTCAGCTACTTTTGTAGGCTTGAAGAAGATTCTTGAAAGATGTTGTTGTTGTTGTTCTTCTTCTTCTTTTTTTTTTTTTATTTGACAGGCAGAGTTAGACAGTAAGAGAGACAGAGAGAAAGGTCTTCCTTCCGTTGGTTCACCCCCGAAATGGCCGCCACGACCAGCACTGCGCTGATCCGAAGCCAGGAGCCAGGTGCTTCCTCCTGGTCTCCCATGCAGGTGCAGGGCTCAAGCACTTGGGCCATCCTCCACTGCCTTCCCGGGCCACAGCAGAGAGCTGGATTGGAAGAGGAACAACTGGGATAGAACCTGGTGCCCATATGGGATGCCAGCGCCGCAGGCGGAGGATTAACCAAGTGAACCACGGCGCCGGCTCCTGAAAGATGTTGTTCTTTACGGTGCTATGGAAGGAGATATTTGATCATGGAAAGAAAGGAAAACTCAGTCATCTACTTGTATATTTGCTGAGCAGCAAAGACATAAACAGGTACCACTTTGAAGCTCCTGGCGATTTAAAACGGTCTGCTGTTAGCTGCCACATTTTGCCAATTTGTCCCTCTAGGAGGGAAGAGGAGTAAGAGGAAAAATGATCATTATTTGAGAAAACTTTTCATAGGGAGAGTATGTCTCTGCTTCAGGGACTATAATAGTTTACTCTTCATGTGCATGGAGTGAAAATGGGCAAGGTTTGTGTACCAACCTTACACACAATTGTAGGACAGGGGGACAAAGCAACTTCCTTTTAGCATAAGACCTCTTTCCTAACATAAAATTGTCCTAATGATTCCTTCCCCTGATTCACTGCCCACATTCAAGGGAGTCAGGAACTCAGTCCAATCTCACATGTAGGTGGCAGGACCCATCTACTTAAGCCATAACCTGCTGCCTCCCAGCCGGTACCTTAGCTAAGTGCTTGGCTTAGTGGTTAAGCTGTTGCTTGGGACACCCACATTCCATATCAGAGTGCCTGGGATGAACTCCCAGCCCCATCCCCAATTCCAGCTTTCTGTTAATGTGCACCTGGGAGGCAGCAGTGACAGCTGATATAATTGAGTCCCTGTCACCTGTATAGGATATCAGATTGAACTTCTATCTCCTAGTTTTGACCATACACAGCCCTGGCTGTCGTGGCCATTGGGGTTGAATCAGCAGATAAAAGCTGTGTGTGTGTGTGTGTGTGTGTGAGAGAGAGAGAGAGAGAGAGAGAGACTGTGCCTTTCAAATCATTAAATCTTAAAAAAAAAAAAAAAAAAAAACCTGAGGCTGAGCCAAATTATGTGACCTGCCCAATTCAAGCAGCTTGGAAATAACCAGGACCCTGAGTCTTTATCAACCTGTATACCATGGCATAAAAATCCCTGCTTAGCTTTCAGTTACATTCTCATCACCTAGCCAACTTGATGCATATGTAGAGTAAAGCTAATATCAAATTTTGAAAAAGAAAAATATAAGGATAAGCAGATGCTAAGTCAAATGTTTAAAATATGTCTAACACTGTGACTTTAAAGATTGGCAGGAGTTGCCATTACCTTATTAATATCCCATAGAACCAGTCTGCTTTTCCTTTTTGCAAATTCATAGGCAGTCAGCCTGCCTATTCCATGCCCAGCTCCGGTAATGAGAACAATCTCCCCAGCCACAGATTTTCTTCTTCGAGGAATGAAAAACTTCACCAAGGACTCCAAGTAGGAGTAGATGATGATGACCACAAGCAGGAGGATGTCCAAGACGATGTTCATGGCTCTGCCTCTCCTCCTCTGGCTCAGTCCTTGTCTAGTCCCAGGAAAGAGACACCCTCTGCACGGGGCTCCAGGGAAGAGCTGTGTGTGTGGTATTAATGGGACTGCCAGAGATAAGGCAGGTTATGTTCACGTGTCTGATGTGTCTGACACTCCTTTGAAGCAATGCCAAGTGCCAGTCAAGCTTAGCACAGGTCACAGGAACCACAGAGAATGTGCTCTGGACTTCCTTATCCAAGAAGTCGTGTACCATGTTTCAGCATGAAATTTCACCTCTAGAATTAATTCTACAGATATTGCAGCCGTTAATGGCCTATTGATACCTTTCTGTGAAAAAACAAAAAACTTTAAGGACAGATAAGAAAGAATAGATATTCTAAAAGAAACCTAAAATATGGATCAATCAAGCTTAGATATTTGATTTATTTATTCATGAAAGCTCAGCAGCAACATCTTACTTGCTAATCATTTCACATGTGATGCCCATTTCTTGAAAACCTCTTGATGGGGGATATTTTATAGTTAACAGAGCATTCAGTTGCCTTTGTGAACATATTGGAAAGAGCAATAGCCCAGCAGCCACAAGCCTTAAAAATGGTGTAACTTCTTAGTTCTGGCTGCTGTAACAAACACCACACCTGGGGGGCTTATCTCACAGGTCTGGAGGCTGTGAAGTTCAAGGTCAGGATACCAGCCGATAACATGTTTGATGTGCACTGGCTTTCTGGATTATAGACGGTTGTGTTGGTGTTGTAATCTTACATGAATGTGCTTGTAAAAGATAATGTCCTTACAAAAGATACTCTCAGTGCTATCTTTTACAAGGATGTTAATCCCATGGCAAGACTTCATGCTCTAATCACCCCAATATCCCCTTGGGGGTTAGGATTTCAACATTATGAATGTTGACAGCACACATTCAGTCTATAGCAAGTTCCAACAGCCCTAACACCCATGTCATCAATAGATGAACAAACAAAATACACTGTATGCACAGAGTAAAATATCATTCAGCCTTTTATATGGAAAGTCTGATTCATGGCACAAAGTGGATCAGCCTCAAAGACATTAAGTTAATGTGAAATAAGCCAGACACAAAAGCATGAATGTTGTATGTTCCCATTTATCAGAGGTACCTAGCGTAGTCACATACATAGACACAGAAAGCAAAAGGGTGGTGAATGGAGCCTGGGAATAAATAGCATGAGAATTTATTGTTTAATGGATACAGGTTTAAGTGTGTGCTAATCGAAGTACTAGAGATGGATGGTAGTGAGGGTTGCAGACGATGGGAAAGTACTTCACATATAGCAATGATTTAAACAGCAAACTCTAGGCTATGTATGTGTGACTGATCTCAGGCAATGCTACTTACCCTCTCTATGCTAAAATTTCCTTATCTGGAAAAAGAGATGAAAATAAATACCCTCCCTTCCCTCACACATTCACATACAAATATGAAATGAGAGAGCATATATATGAAATGGCTTTTTAATTAGTAGTTATATAAATGAATAGTGGTTTGAATTTATTTATTTATTATAAAAGATGTATTTATTTGAAAGTAAGTTACAGAGAGAGAAGGAGAGACAGATAGAGACCTTCCATCAGCTGGTTCACTCCCCAGATGGGGCTGGGCCAGGCCAAAGCCAGAAGCCAGGAGTTTCACCCAGGTCTCCCACTTGGGCCATGTTCTGCTGCTTTTCCCAGGCTGTTTGCAGGGAGCTGAATCAGAAGTGGAGCAGCTGGACAAGAATCAAAAATACCCATAGGGGATGCTGGCATTGCTGATAGAGGCTTTATCCACTACACCACAATGCCAGCCCCTAGCAGTTTGAATTTATTAAGCACATACTGTATTCCACAGACCAAATTATTTCATCTTCAGGAAATATACTGGAGGTAGGTATCATTATAACCTGCCCTGTACAGATGAGGAACCCAAGGAATAGAGAAGTTAGGTAAAGCTCTGAAAGTTTCATAACTGCTAAGAGGTGGAGTAAGGATTGGAACCCAGTTAAATATGATTCTGGAGCTGCAACTTCTGTTGGACAGTAACAGAAAGTGGCTTAGATCAGACCTCAAGCTCAGTTGCCATTCAGCAAAGCAATGTTTATGGGTTGCATGTCTGTACTTCAATACTCAGCTTGCTCAGAGTGGTCCAGACCAGAGGACCAAAACCATGTGAAATCATATACTACTGATAAACTTCTGACAAGTAACTTTACAATTTACAGTGGGACGTAGATTACTGTACCTACTGGAGTAGTTATATGAAGGTAATTCAAAAAGTTTGTGAAAGATGGAAATAAAAGATGAAAGAAATGAATTTTAAAGGTAAAAATTAAATTAAAAGGTAATGGAACTAGGCCGGCGCTACGGCTCACTAGGCTAATCCTCCACCTTGCGGCGCCGGCACACAGGGTTCTAGTCCCAGTCGGGGCGCCGGATTCTGTCCCGGTTGCCCCTCTTCCAGGCCAGCTCTCTGCTGTGGCCAGGGAGTGCAGTGGAGGATGATGGCCCAGGTGCTTGGGCCCTGCACCCCATGGGAGACCAGGAGAAGCACCTGGCTCCTGCCATCAGATCAACGCGGTACGGCGGCCGCAGTGCGCCGGCCGCAGCGGCCATTGGAGGGTGAACCAACGGCAAAAGGAAGACCTTTCTCTCTGTCTCTCTCTCTCTCACTGTCCACTCTGCCTGTCAAAAAATAAATAAAATAAAATAAAAAAATAAAAAGGTAATGGAACTAAAAAGTATTTTGGTGCAAAAAAAATGGAAATATATAGGTTTTAAATAATATGCAATTTCCATTAACTTTTTGAAGGCCCCCTCCCCCGATCATATTCAAAAATTAGGAAACTTTGAGAAAGTGAAAAACAGCTAACAGTGCTCTCAAATAGTTTTCAATGCTGAGAAATTTGGAACCTCCTGAGATATCCTGGTGAACTAAATTTTGTTTGTTTGTTTTAAGGGCCAGATTGTTCAAGATCATCCAATACAGGGTGCAACTTGCCTCTACCATGCCAGAAACATCCAATATGCCCTCTGATTTTTTGTTTTGGAGACTTTGGGTTTGTACATCTTCATGACATCATTGGCTTCATTTCAAAAGATTTTCGTAACAAGTAAAAATGTTTACTCTGCTCACATTTTAGGTCTGTTGTTTCCTATTGATGTGGATGATGGTACCTTGAACTTGTTAATTTGTCTTCATATCAGATTTTAGGGTGAGCTGCTTTCAGTTGAATTTTCTAAACTAATTTAAAACTATCCATAGCAGTTAGAATCTTATTAAGGGGAGGGGCCGGCGCTGTGGCACAGCTGTTAAAGCCCCAGCCTGCAGCTTTGGCATCCCATATGGGCAGCCGGTTTGAGTCCCAGCTGCCCCACTTCTGATCCAGCTCTCTGCTGTGGCCTGGGGAAGCAATAGAAGATGGCCCAAGTCCTTGGGCTCCTGCACTCGCGTGGGAGACTCAGAAGAAGCTCCTGGCTCCTGGCTTTCAATCGGCACAGCTCTGGCTGTTGCGGCCAATTGGGGAGCAGAGGATGGAAGACCCCCCCACCCCCGCTCCCTCTCTCTCTGTAACTCTGCCTTTCAAATAAATAAATAAATCTAAAAAAAATCTTAAACTTTTTTCTAAACTTTGCTTTTTCCATTCATTAATGTTCCTCTTAAGGCTCATCTGATTGATTGTCAGTTACAGAAATTGAATGATCTTTACACAGTTAGGAATAATTATCTATATACAGATAACCGTTCATGGGAAAAAGATAGAAGAGTAACCAGTAGCTTCATAATTTGGAGCATAGCTTAACAATGTTATGTGTGTTAAGAATAACATTTAATAGGCCGGCGCCGCGGCTCAATAGGTTAATCCTCTGCCTGTGGCACTGGCACCCCAGGTTCTAGTCCCGGTCGGGGTGCCGGATTCTGTCCCGGTTGTTCCTCTTCCAGTCCAGCTCTCTGCTGTGGCCCGGGAGTGCAGTGGAGGATGGCCCAAGTGCTTGGGCCCTGCACCCCATGGGAGACCAGGAGAAGCACCTGACTCCTGGCTTTGGATCGGTGGGGCGCGCCAGCCGTAGCAGTCATTTCGGGGGTGAACCAACGGAAAAAGGAAGACCTTTCTCGCTGTCTCTCTCACTGTGTAACTCTGCCTGTCAAAAAAAAAAAAAAAAAAAAAAGAGATATACATAGGATCCCCACATCGCACATCGGAGTACCTACATGTGAGTCCCAGCTCTGTTAATGAAGGCAGGGACAGCAAAATGGAGACAGGATTGTGTTCCTGGATCCCGGCTCTGGCCCTAGCTCAGCGCTAGCTTGTATGAGTTCTTTGGGAATGAACTAGTAGGTGGAAACTGCTTTGGTTGTTTCTCTCCCTCAAACTTAAATTTCCTGGAGCTTCTGCATATTTTTGGTTTATAAAACCACTGGCTTGGAGCCAGTGCTGTAGCATAGCAGGTAAAACCACTGCCAAACTGGGCACTGGTTCAAGTACCCAGTGCTCCACTTCTCACTCAGCTCCCTGCTCATATGCCTAGAAAAGCAGGAAGAGATGGCCCAAGTTCTTGGGTTCCTGCACCCACATGGGAGACCCAGATGAAGGTCCTGGTTCCTGTCTTCAGCCTAGCCCAGCTAGACCATTGTGGGCATCTGGGGGAATGAAATAGCAGATGGAAGATGTCTCTCTCGCTCTGTAACTGTTTCAAATAAATAAATCTTAAAAAGACAAAACAAGACAGAAACACTGGCTTCATCACTATCAATCCTCCTTTGGTAGCAACCAAAAAAAAAAAAAAAAGTCCTCACGGTTTGATCCTCAGCCTTCCTATTCCTTATTCTCCTAATTCTTCTTCCTCTATGAATTCCAATCTTATCCTGACTAAAGAATCTGTCTATTTTGCATTAGAATATTTTTAGATTTCTTTCTTCATAAAAATAGCCAATGGAACCATCCTGTCTTCTTTTTTTAAAAAAAGATTTATTTTATTTATTTGAAAGATAGTGTTAGAGAGAGAGGTAGAGACAGAGAGGTCTTCCATCCACTGGTTCACTCCCCAGATGGCCACAATGGCTGGAGCTGTGCCAATCCGAAGCCAG